TATTATTGATTTTAACTACAAATGTTGATGTGAAATAAGTGTATTTTAGTTAAAAATACTCGTATATTGCGATAAGCGGTTTAGTAAAAACTCGTGTCAATAAAGGTAAAAGATTTATCAACTTTTATATTTACATTTCAGGTTTATTTGTAAATTATTGAATACGTATATCGGATTTATATCAATTATATATAATATTATATTTAGATTTTTGTTGTTTTATATTATACGAATGCGATTTGTCAGCTATTACGAAATATATATTTAATTATAAGATAAATATATGTCAAATATATTATTTGAAATAAATTTTCAAATAGAAACTGTAAATATATTATTAGACATTTTACGCTTTGTTTTGTAAATTTGTTAATAGTTAGTCGCTTAAAATAATAATTAATTTCGCTTGATTGAGAAATTGATTTCTAATTAATAAACTTGATATAATTTGACGTATACAAGCTATCTAGCTATCAAAATGGAAAAACCTGGAATTCTTAAAATTTTCTTATATTTAGAGAAATCAGGCTTTTTATGAAATTTTATTGGGACTCGTTTATTTTGCTCTTATGTTGCAAGTAGCAGTTGGCAATCCATTGATTGGCCAAATTGTATGTATTTAAAATGTTATAAATATATATTATTCTCTATTTATTTATTCAATGTATTTAAAAAATGCTGAATATGCAATATACATTTTTTCTTATACTTTTGTAATTTTCAGTGGTAAACAATGAAAAGATTATGCAAGTAAAAATTATTTATTTTGTGGAAATCATTCTGTTCTTTACAATATATCTTTAAATTTAACAATCATGTTTAACAAGTGAAACTCAAATAACCTTTTATTTTTCCTTTATACGAATGAAAAGCGTTAGAAAATGCACATAATAGAAATAAAAAAAATATTTTAAAAAGTTACATCTACAAATTCTCTTTTATAAATTTTACCAGAAATTTTGAACAAAAATGTTTGAAAGATTACAGAATTTTTTTCAAAGAATTTTTTAATGATATATATATATATATACATATATATATATATATACTATATGTTTGTGCCATAATTCAATTTTAAAAAGAGAAGAATGAAATAATTTACTTTTATTAATTTTGAATGTATGTGTGTGTGTATAAACTATTGTCCTTAAAATCTCAATGGTCGAAATATGTCCAGAGAATAATTTGCGCATTTCTTTTTCTCTCGACATCTCAGGAAAGCGGTACACGATCCCATTTCGCTTTCTTCCGGGAGCGTCCACCGTCGTGTCAAACACGCACCAGTGCTCACCGACAATAGGGTGTACCATCAGCTCATTTCACAAGTACATGTAGATTCGCACTTATGATAACGAGGACAACTGCGTTTCTGCGGCGTAAATTGAGATTTAACACTCACAAATTCTAGACTGCTCTTTTAATAGTCTTTGTATAAATATTAAAATTTGATAAATGGATAATCGGTAGATTAAATAAGTAATTATAATTTGAGCGCAATAAGCATTATTATTTTATATACGCGAAATATTTTTCTTCCCATCAAGCCACATTATATTATATTTCTCGTTTTGAGAATTAGAAAGATCAATATATATTTATAATGCAATATAATTGCAATTATAATCATTGCTTTTTAGTTTATAAATGTAAATCGAAACGCCAGATTGTTTGTGGATAAATGCCTGGTCCAGATTTAATTATGTTTATTGGGAGTTAAATGGTCACTAATAAACATACTGTGTCAAAACGGGCTGTATGGTCGGTCTCTCAATATTGTCGAGCATGATAATATCGTTAGCATCGTATCGTGCCGTTTATTCGTACGTGCATGCAGCGCTTTCGGTGCATTTACCGCGCCGTTGATTTCCGAACAAAGGCGAGTAGCCCCCGCATGGATATAACGTAATCGATTTATTAGCAGACTGACGGATTGTAGCATCGTGGAAATCTGCTCATCTTTGAAACGGGAGACTGAACAAATGGTGCAACGTTATCACTAATCCAAATCGTACAAATTGCAGCACAATTACATGAAAAAAAAGAGAATTAATTATATCGGTAAATAAATTATTAGAATTAACAACTAAAGAGATTTAAGAGACCGGTCTATTCATATGTATTAATATGAAAAATTGATTTTTAGGAATATTTTTTGAAGAATATATTAAAAATTGAATTTTTATGCAAGTTCTATTGACGTTTATAAACAATATGTCTGTATTTTTTAATTTTAGATATTTTTTTCAATACGAGCTTCTGCGCGTAGCGTGTTTAAAAAATGCATGATTCGATGGTGTGACATACTCCTCGTGTAATTGTCTGAAATGAAAAAACTAATTTTTCCGTAGGATATTTTTGAGGGTACTGAACTCAATTTCGCATAAGAAAAAATTGAAAAACAAGGTGATCGTATGTTAAAATTAGATTTTAATTTTTTTGCACATTTTTCGTTTCTTGAAGATCAGAAAAATATATTAAATATTAATTTTTTTAAATTTTAATTAGATTCAATATTGAAGAATTTTTGGCGTCGACTAATGAATATAATTGTACGTCATATAAACTTTCGCCTTACTTTCTCCGACATTACATATGAATTAACTATGAGAATACTATTCATATGCGTGTATTTGCACATATAATTCTTGAGTTTATATATTTATCTATTCTATTGCGAGAAAATATAATATTTAAATATAAAATTTCCTTCTTTTATCACAGGTTATTTTTAATGTAATTTTTATAATTTCAATCAACATTATACATATCACATATATTGCATAATTTTAAATCTTACTGAAATGAGGATATAATTTATATTCATTATCGAGAATATATATATATATATATAAAAATATATAAAAGAAGAGTTATTTCTCTAAAATAAGTAGCTCACATATCGATCGTAATAAGCTCGAGGCATCTCGGCATTGAAAGAGGCGAATGACCGTCCGATCATGATGTGTTATTATCTACTCGTTCAAGAGAGAGCATGGGTCTTTTCTAAAAAAAATTTCAGATTACAGATTATAATTTACAATTTTTTTATGATGCAGCGTTAATCGATTATCATCTTGAAATCTGATTTAAGCTCATATGTGTACTGAAGTATTTAAGAGATATAAAAAATACTTCCTCCTTTATTTGTCTATTTAATTAACAATAAATTCCTATTTACTTGATACAATTAATTTATCATCTTAAAGGATTAATTTAATAAAGAAAAAAGATGCAGAAAAATATCTCTTTCAAACTTCCGTACGTTTTTCACAATATATATACAGCAATTATTAGATCTTTTTATAAATCTAAAATCTATACTTCACAAACAGTTAAACTGACTATGACGTCGAAAGTGTTTAATCGCAGAAAATTAAATTCCGAGTGTGATTTTCCAATTTATCCTTCTCGATACAGTGTACTTAACTTTTATTAAATTAATATCGTTAAATTTATTGACCTAGAAAGAAAATATAGTGAGAGAAAATTTAATTAGCTCGAATCGCATACCGAATAATTTTTCTGCGTGCTTCTCGTTTAATAAATATAATTATATCAAAATTATATCAAGGAGCGTTGACTTCTTGAATTACTCTTCTCCGAATATGAACATATAATGTTTAGGTAGAATTGTCAGAATAAATTGAGGCATATTATCTTGTGACTCTCATACATATGTTGCGCATGATTTACATGGAAATAATTATATTTTAGCGATCTAGCATAATTATATAGTTTATTTCTGATAATTTGATCGTTACATCAGATTCGATCATTAAAAATAATTTATCTTGCCGTAACAATCGGGTCGATCTTGCGAAACAGGTGCACAATTTTTCTGATTTGTCCGCCGGTCGTTGATCGCTCGCAAGAGTAAAGGCAAGAGTAAGGAATAGTGCGTCGAGCGGAATAACGGGGTTGCTCTTGATTGTCCTCGTGATGATCGCACTGATGCATCGAGCGAGCAGTACCGTTTGGTTCACTCTACGATCGTCATAAAATCGCATCGCGAGGCTGTCAGATTAGAATCGGCCAGGTTCTCTTGACGTTCTTCTCCGTTTTTCTCCTCTCCTCCTCCGAGGATATTCTGGCAGGGGGTTCCGCGAGAGACTAACGGTATACCCATGTCGCAAACTCTCTACGATCTCTCCTATATAGTTTCCTTCTCTCCCTTTGCCGGCGGGACCCCGTTTCGTTCCTTTTTACTACTCCTTTTTCGTTTCTTTCCCGCTCCACCTCTTCCTCCTGCTCCCCGTCATCCTCCTTCTCCTCTTTCTCCTCCTGTTTCTGCTCCGCTCTATCTAGTTGGGTGCTTCTTCTTCTTCGTCTTCTTCTTCTTCTTCTTCTTCTTCTTCTGCCTCCTTTCCATAACGGTGACGTCGGCTTCCCGTTACACGTCCAGCCCGTCCGAACGAAGGAACGACCTATTCCCTTTCATGGGCAAGCTTCGTTGCATTATGGATGCCGAAAGAAGGAAGGATGCCAATGCTGGATGGATGTGCATCCCGCGTGTATCTCACGAAAATAGAAAAGTGCGCACAAATACGTTTTACAAGTTTTGTCCTTTATTTAAAGTTTGACGTACAGAAAGGAGGTATTAAAATCATCGCAGACTGATGATAAAATATCGATGTCTATTTTCCTGACAAAAATATGTAACGGATTTTGATTAGACATAGTTTTATAAATTGCTCGATATCTATTGAGAATATTGCAATATACAACCTATTCGGAAGAGATATAGAAAAATTTTATATAAAAATTTATATTTATTAGGGTTTATTATATTTATTAGACTTAAGGGAGACAAGTAAAATTGAACTTTCTACAAAGTGTATATGTCACATATCTATAGATGATTTTATTCTTAATTATTATGTACACAGCCAATTTATCCTATAATTATTTTATCGGAAAATTAGTTTGATTAAGAAAAAAACGCAATTTATGTCACGTCATATAATTGACAATGCATTAATAATTTTTTCGTTCGTTTACAGAGCAGCATTACGCGGCAGCTGATTCCAACAGTTCGACGCCCGCTAAAAGCTTCGTACCGTGCAAGGTTTGCGGCGATAAAGCCAGCGGCTACCATTACGGCGTTACCAGCTGTGAGGGTTGTAAAGTGAGTATCGTATGTTGAGGCTATCCTTATCACGAGCAAATAAAGAATTCGAAACCGAATGCTTGGGAACTAAAAGCCAGAGCTATGACATTTACGTCACTTATTTTCGCAAAATCAACATCAAGAACCGTATTGTTGGCATCACGTTTCCTTTCCATATTTAATCAGCTATATAATTGTCTAAAAAAAGTACAATAGCTACATTGAAATTTATATAACATGACTATTATGTGTTTAGTTCCATCAATATTCAATTTTATATTAATGACTCGAGGAGCAAATGGATTTCTATTTTTCACAACTTACTAATCTAATGAAAATTGGCACCCGCGAAATTAGAAATAAAACGACATACGTGATCTCTAGTTGCGCAGCTTCCGACACTTTGCAAAAATATTCGTTGATCGATTTGACCTCACGACGTGTGAAATAGTAGTTGAGTCAAGTACAATTTACAGAACTACGATACGCAAGGATGCATGACGACCGAATAATAACGTGAAACATTTAGCCTCGGAGCACATTATTTATCGATCGCATGTTTTTTAAGAGAGTCCACTCTAACACTATGAAAACATTTTGATAATTTAACATTTTTTTGAAGAGTATTAGAAATTAATCTTTTTGGCGTTTTACATATATTTCTATTGTTTGAATATCAATAATTTTTAAATCTGGAATATTTAGCTTTTTTATTTAATACGAGTTTCTACGCATAACGTGTTTAAAAGCGACGCGACATACATATTTTTTTGTTTAATACGAGCAGAGAGGTGTAACATGTTCAAGAATGCATGTTTGATGATGTGACATGCTGTCCCTCGTGTGTAATTGTCCGAAATGAAAAAAAAAACTCTAGTTTTATATTATATTCCGTAGGATATTTTTGAGATAAAACTAATTAGAATCTTAAAAAAAATAAATATTTAATACTTTTTTTTATCTTCAAGAAATTTCAGCAAATTGAAATATCTTATTTTTAAGTAACATTACTTTATTATTTTTTAAATTTTTCTCTAATGAAATTAGTATCCCAAAAATATTTTATGGAATAAAACTAGACCGTTTTTTCATTCCAGACAACTACATACAAGAAACAGCATGTCACATCATCAAACATACATTTTGAACACGCTCTGCTCGTGTATTAAACGAAAAAATATTCAAGATTAAAAAATACCGTCATACAACAATGAAACATCAATAAAATCTTATGTAAAACGCTAGAAAAATCAATTTAAAATATTCTTTAAAAAAATTCTTAAAAATTATCAATTTTTTTCTACTGCTGGAATAGACTGGGCTCTCAAGCATCGTGGGAGATGCACGGATCTCTCGCCGCCTGCGTGCTGCTGCAAGTCTGAGATTTCAAACGCGGAAGCCCTAAGGCCAGAGTTAACGGTGAAGTGGTGCATTCTCGCATTCGCGCTAGCGAGTCGAGTTCCGCGGACTAATGCACGCAGGCAGACGCTTTTATCAGGCGTACACACACGCTTCCTAGCACGATTCTGTAAAGTAATAAAGGTGGTAAAGTTTGCCTAAAATTAATTGAGAGGAAAGAATGAGTCTTTGTTGCTCGTTTTTTGTTGCAGAGGAAGAGAGAAACGCGGTTTATCAAAAAATCTCCGATTGAAAAAAGAGCGAGAGAGAAAAAAATTTGACGCTTGGGCACGTTTCCAATATTGAGCGAATGGCATCTGTGCTTTTACTTCTTCTAACATTTATATGTCGAGGCACGCATCAAGCGAATACACGGGATATTCCGGAAATGGGCGCACATTCGACGCAGATGGCGATTATTATTAATATATCGAATCGGGAATTGAAATTATGCGAATGAATGGGATAAAGATGAAACTGGTGTATAATATATTTATAACAAGCTTCTCGATTAATTTTTCATTTATAATATTAATGTTATTAATTTGTAATTAATAAATAACTGATACGAATTGATAAAATCAACTTTACGCGAATATCTATAAATTGTGATTTTAAATGCGACAGATTAAATAATAAAACAGCTTGGCATTGTCCGTCCACGCATAGTTATTACTACTGCACGGTCCGCCACTACATTTTGTCTGACCTGCAACGTTTTTACTACTGATTCGAGCGATGTGCGGTGCGAGCTGTCCGTTTCTCGTTTATCGGAGGTTTTCTCGCACAATATTTATTGTTGAGCCTTCATAATTTGAACATAGAATTTTTTCCTATAATTGCTCCACGATGTTAGTATCCTGCGATGCACCAATTTTTTTACAATAATATAGCGAGATTTAGTAAACTAAAAAAATCTCATCTCTAATATATATGTATTTTGTATTATATATAATCAATTTTTTTGTAGATTTTTTATCTGTAATTTGCAGTACACTTGAGAGAATTCCATTTTATCTCTTTAATTATTTGATATAAATTAAAATAGTATTATTAAAATTATTTTAAAAAACGATTAATCAAAATAAGATTAATTATAATCAGAGATTTAGAATTTTAATTTCATAACAATATGTACATCTTTTTTTCTTCGTGACAGAGCAATCGTTATCGATGGCAGAAAAACAGAAAATGTTATTAATTTAATCATTTAATTATAATTTGACCGACTACGAATATGAATTAATTGACATTTATCGTTTTCAAAATCGGCGCACATTTATCTCATGTCTTCCATTTTGCCTTAATAACTATATGGTTGTTATATGCTTTTTCCGTCATCCGGCTGACGAAGACAAACAGACGCGCGATATGACGTATCGATTTTAGAAACAGGCTGAGGCCGCGCGCCCCATCGGTTACCAGTAGTATCGACAGTTGCATTACGAGCAGCCGGCCCATCGAATATTCCAGGATATTGGATGTACGTCAGTATTGTTGTACGACGCCGTTATGAATACCTTTCATCAATTAGCACCGATAATAATAAGCCAGCGAACCGATATTTTCGCGACTGCTCGCAACTCGTCTGTATATATCGCCGCCATTCTTCCGTTACTTCCGCAAGTGAGCTTTTCGCTCTGTAGACTGTTTTTTACATAATATTGACGTACATGAGAAGTTGGAATGCCAGTTATATTATTAGGGTTCATTGTATCTCTCTTGAGTGTTGGAATATTAATTAAAATTATGTATTCTTTTACAATAAGAGTTCAGTCTGCTTTAGAGGATAAAAAAAATCTTTTTTACATTTTCTGAAAATATGATGCCTGAAAATATGTCTGTCAAATTTTACTGAAAAATTCGCGAAATTGACAGAGTTGTAAGACTTTAAATAGGATAGCGTGTCTTCAAATGTGGGTCTGTAAGCTCAAAATACTGTTTCCAAAGTTGATGTGGTAACTGAGAAACTAATGGATCGAATAATTTCATATACTAATTTTTTTAAATATAGGAGAATCCTTTTTTGAAGATATTGAAATAGAATATTGAGGATATCCAAATAGAATTTTAAAAAATTAATATTTCTTTTTGTGACTTTCAAGAAATGAAAAAATTTCAGCAAAATTGAAATATCTAATTCCGATGATGCTATATTGTTATTTTCCATTTTTTAAATGAAATTCAACACCTCTAAAATATCCCGTGAAATGAAACTAGACCGAATTCATTCATTTCAGACAAATATACAAATACAAATATACAACCACACATATGTCGAACTATGCATTTTCGAATATGCTACGCGCAGAGACTCGTGTTGGCTTGAAAAGAAGTTATAACCATATTAAAAAATACTGACATACTGTGTGAACATCAATAAGAACATACGTAAAATGCCAAAAAGATCAATATCTAATGTTTTTTAAAAAAATTCCTAAAACTCATCAACTTTTCATACATTTCACACACAGAGTACATTGTGCCCTTAAAAATAGAGCTTTATTTGAAAGAACCTCGGCAGATTTTAACTACTGTAATTTTTTCCATTTTCGATGAATCGTTAAAATAATTAATATAGAAAATAAAAACATGTAACGAATGATGGCCAATTATGAAGTTCTTTCAAAGAAAAATTAATCAAATTTTTGATAATTTACAGGAATATTCGATAATTCCAGAGACAATACAATGCGCATAATAAAAAACAAAAAAAGAACCAATATACAAATACAATTGTGCGTTTTATGTATTAAATTATCAATTTTGAAATTATTAATCATTTATATAAAATTGTATGATTACAAGAGATTTCACATCTGGAGGAATGTGCGATAATGCGTATCAAGAATGCGCTCGAGAACTTGCTTTTCCCATGAATGCGTTTTCCGTTACTTCTCTCTCGCTTTTTCTGAAGTCTCAGCGCTATAAAGAATGGCGTAGAGTGTCGTATTTTATACGCGGGGCGATATAATTAACCCCGGGACACGGTGTATGGGATCGTTATTAATAGTGTTTCCTTACTTCCTGTTCAGGGCTTCTTCAGGAGGAGCATACAGAAGCAGATAGAATACAGGTGCTTGAGGGACGGCAAGTGTCTCGTCATCAGATTAAATCGGAACCGTTGCCAGTATTGCAGATTCAAGAAGTGCCTAGCCGTCGGCATGTCCAGAGATTGTAAGTGCCGTATTCGCGTGAGAGCAATTAACAATTTTTACACATCATCTAGAAAATTGATAAACCTGAAAATATGTCGGTATTGAAGAAACGTTGAGCAATATTATCGAATATATGCCAAGATTTCTTGAAATGCAGATTGCGTATTTATTTAAAAAAATTGATAATTCACATCATATTTCTTCCAAAAGATTACGAGAAAAATATTTGATTTTTTTTACATGCTATTTTTATAAGAAATACAGTATCTCTTCTAATCAAAATTTGTATACGTCTATTGATCGATTCACGAAATTCAAGTCAAGTAGTAATTTAAAAATTTTAAAAAAATTACTTAAAAATTACTTAAAAATTACTTAAAAACGTATCAGTTTTTAAAATTTTATTTATACTTTCTTCTACATTTTTTTTAATTTTTAAAACATTCTATCGATTGATCTAATCGATTTTAAAACAAATAATGGCGTATGGGAGAAGAGCAAAGATTCTCTTGACACGTCGAGAATCAAAAAAATATTCACGCTAAGATTATGGCATAATTCACGAGTTATGTTCATATGTGCCAAGTATAATCTGTCGACGAGTTGACTTTGATTCCCTGCGCGTCTGTCGAGCTTGCGAGGATTAACGACACCGTTAGAAATTCAAACAGGATCCTACGGAAATCGCGGTTCTAGCCGTCAGTGATGCAAAATCTACTTGCCACCCATGCCGAGAGAGCAAAGTAAACCAAAGGGCCAGGCGTGTACATAATTAAACACCAGAGTTCTCTCCAGGGCGCGATACCGGTCTACGTGTTTTACGTACTACTGGTACTACTTATTATCGTGTCACAAATAAAATTGCAATCAATTCTCGCGTAGATTTTCAATTCATTTCTCTAGTTATATTCTATTGGAGTTGCACAAAATTCAAGACAATATTTGAAAAAAATGGTATTGCTATTCAAAAATTTTTGAAAATTTAAATTTCTTTAATTTATTTTTATACTTAATAAACTTGTTTAAATTTGTATATAATATAACGTGATTTTGTTCTTTAATTTCCAAATATACATATTTTAACTTTTTTAAAAAATCAATAATCTTGATTATCTTTATATTGATAACTAATTAAAAATTTTGTCTGAAATTTCGAGGCAAGACAATATCAAGACTATTCTTGATATCTTGTGCAATCCTATAATCTATCACCTTTCATTTAAAGTCTTAAAACGCAGCTTTCTAATAAAATTCTGTTGTCTTATTTATATTCCTGAAGCGCAATTTTCGCCAAGAATTCCTATTTTTAATCGATTGCAACCAAAAGACTATCAAACGTTCGTCTGTTTTTGAATACTGTATTTACGGAAAAATTTAAATATCGAGACACATTAATGTCATGCGTGTCTCTTTGCAGCTGTGAGATACGGCAGGGTGCCGAAACGCTCCAGGGAACGCGGCCCCGAGGACACGATGGCGACGACCATGACGACGACGACGACGACGACAACGACGACGACGACGATGGCGGCCATGGAAATGCAGCAACTCACCACGCCCGATACCGGCAACAACAATGCCAACAACAAGAATAACAATAACAATAACAACAACAATAACAATAATAACAACAACAATAATACCCAGAGCCAGAACGCGATCTCGCGGGTACCGCCAGCCGCGGTGGTCGAGGCTGATCAATCGGACGCTGACGTGAAACAGCTGGCCGTATATGACGTGATTCATCAGGTGTCGCAGGCGCATCACGCTCACTGCGGCTTCACGGAAGAGTCCACTAGAGGCCTCACGAGAAAACCCATGATAATACCGGTGAGCCATATTATAGAAAAAATAAATAAATAAAATGAATTCATTGCGATCTAGAAACCGATCTAAGAACCGATCTTATAAGAACCGTGGTTACAAACAGTTGAATTCAATAATATTTAATGTAGAAGAGAGACATATATTTAATTCACGAATTTTTTCAAATTGAATGAAGAAAAAAATTTTCATTATATACTATCTTTTTAGTATGGAATGGAATTACTAATAATTTATTAGCGCAAAGACTTTCCCGCTGAAAATGGCAGAAAATCTCGCAGGTTTGTTTGTAATCTTGCTGATTAGGCGAGTAATTCTTCGCAGCCCGCTAGCCCGGAGGACCCGGAAGCCGCGTCCTCAACCGCAGAAACAGTTGAGTCGCAGAGGATCTGGCTGTGGCAGCAGTTTGCTACGAGGGTGACGCCGTCTGTACAGAGGGTGGTAGAATTCGCAAAACGAACGCCAGGGTTCTGCGAGCTCTCGCAGGATGATCAGCTAATCCTGATTAAAGTCGGCTTCTTCGAAGTGTGGCTCTGCCATATCTCCAAGATGACAACCGATAATTCGATGACCTTTGAAGATGGCACCTACTTTACCCGACAGCAACTGGAATTGATGTATGAGGTAGGATTGAAACTTCTTCTGAAAACGAAAACATTTAATATTAAATATATTGTAATATTGTGAGAATATTTAAACCAACCTTTGAACGAACCTTCAAACATCGATATTCATAATCTTGCGATATTCATAATAATTATAAAGTTCGTTCTTAGAAGCCAGGCTTGTGTTGCAATCATCGTAATTCTCTCTATTATACTCTGACAGCCCGACTTCGTGTCTGCATTGATGCAAGTCACGTCGTCGTTGAACGCCCATCAACTAACGGACACCGAACTGGGCCTGTTCTCGGCGGCGGTGTTGCTAAGTGAGCGACCGGGATTGAACGATGTCAAGGCCGTGCAGAGGTTGCAGGATCGCGTGCTGGAGGCGCTGAGAGTGCAAGCGGCGCGTCCTTCCAGCGAGGGATCAGGCGGTTCGGTCACCAGTATTTCGCAGAGGATACCCGAACTAAGAGCACTCGGTGCCAGGCATGTCAGTCTTCTCGATTGGTTCCGCAGAAATTGGACGAAGCTCAAGTTACCGCCGCTATTCGCCGAGATATTCGACATTCCCAAATGCGAAGAGGACTTGCAATGAAGAGAGGTAATTAATCGATTACGGGACTTGCAACGATGTGATCTTTAACGATAAATAAGTAAGGATCGAATGGATCGCGCACGAGTAAATCTTTTTAATATAGATATTTTTTCGTAAACTAAAATCATCAAATAATTATCTCTTCATTTAAGGCACAATGATGATTATGAAACGTTTAGAAAATATGAACTTTATTTACATTTAGAATAATAAACTTACAAATTGCTCTTAATGATCCTTTGTTTCTGTCTCTTTGACAGACATAAGGTGCAAGATAATTCGAGATCAATGATATCGATACTCGGTACTGGCAAGAAACCAAGTTGCTCAGCGCTTATCGAGACTGCTCTGAATATCTAGAGAACCATTCGTTTTGATTCATAGACGGCCAAACACGATTACAATGCGATCCAAAAGTGAATGAAGAATGAGCGATGGAATGAGAAATGAGACGTATCATTTTTGTGAATGATACGTTTATCGAAGATATAGTCTATCGCGAAGAATAATAGCTAAATTAAAGAGAAAAGAGAAGAAAAGCTACGATTATCGATGATTAGCGCCAATTTTTGCTAATGTATCGAGATTTCGATGGTTCAAAGAATAATGGGAAATCCAGTATCTTTGGTTATAAAAGGCTCGTAACAAGCTTGCTGTATTAGAAAATTGAGAAAAATAAAGAAAAAAATATATATACACGAGACCGTCGATTATCCAAATGGCGAGTTCAAATAGCGATTACGTGAATTTTCGACGGTGATCTTTTGAGATACTCTCGCTAATTTTGCTCCCAGAATATCTCGATCGCTCGAATAATGTGTAACGACCGATAAAAGATAATTGGAAGAGGACAAAAGAGATTATATCTTTAAAAGCCGCCGTAGGCAATAGGACGGAGCTTTGAGAAGTTTTCGTGCAAGTTTTCGGAGGGGGAGATTGGCAGACAGTAATTTGCTCAAATTCAATGGAAACGGCTTTGTACTATTCGCCAGGCAATACCACACGCATACAGCACGTGTGTTTCCGGACGAGCGTGTACTCAGTAAAATACTCAATCGACGAAGGAGGCATCTTTCGCGTCGCGTCAAGTATAACGGGTGGCTCCTTTATCCGCCGCGACGACGCATGGCCAAGCACAAATACATAAATCATGTCATGAACATCCGTTCATGTTCAAGATTTTGTCGTCTTTTTGTTTTTTTTTCTGCGATCATATCTAAGGTTTAAGGATTTCAAACATACAACGTGCAGCACTCATTCGAGCGGGTTATTTCGCTAGAACGGAAATCGGCCAGATGATACAGATAGCATCATAGCAACAGCAACACCAACTCAACGGACATATCAGAAATTAAGATTACGAAGTGTTCCCCTCTGTATTAAGCATCGCCGAGTACGTTCGTGTCTTTTGCTAGAGTCAGAATCGGTGACATTTTGATGTTACAGGTATATGCGGAGATTGATTTTAAATCACATCTCGCGATAGTTTTATCTCTCTTACATATTTTATAATTATATTGTATATAATTATACGCGTAATTATAATATAATTATTATTGCACATTTTAAAGAGACAGAGAGAGGGGCGAAGGGAGGAAGAGTGAGAAAGAAAGAGAATATATTCTAATTGTAAATTCTCCCAATTTCCACATATTTTTATCTTTATAAAGTTAAATATTATATATCAAAGCACACATTTTTCCGTGCTCTTCTATTACTAAATTTTTACCGAAATGTCACCGATTTCGATTTCTGATTTGTTGCGATACCGAAAGAACGATGAGTGACTGTATGGCCATGTAAACATAACGAAATGCACACGCGAACACGCATACTAAGCAACTATGTATTTATTATGCGTGTAATTAATGAAATCATACAGATGTGAGAGGAGGCATATACAAATTTCACGTTGTAAGGCTCGGGAGGATATCTTTATAAGACGTATCTCCTTGTAGATGCATTCGCTACGAATCTCAATCTATGCAATCTCTATTTTTATTACTCGACAAGTAGAATAACGAATTATATATTTCCATATAGTTATGTGTATATATATATACACATACATACATATATATACATATAATTATATATCACTGCGTAGCGTTTCGAGAAACCGTTCCGGACGGAAGCGCATGAGAAAAAAAAACCGAAACGCATAATCGGCGCTTCGGGGATTATTAAAGTTCCTTAATTGAAACATACCGACAAAAATGAAAGAAAAAAAAGAAAAAAGGGAAGAAAATTATGCGTACATCTATCACGTACATAATATATCCGCGCACACATGCAACGTCCAGAAAACTATCCGAGTCGCGCTTCCGCGCGAAACGATCTGGAAGCGAACGCGGGCCGACTCTTCAAACTTTAAACACTAATAACTTTCTGACAATGACTAGCGTATAATACATAACGATATATAATCGCAATGCGTGTGTGAATATGCGTGTATGCTTTTGTGTGTATGTGTGTGTATGCGTGCATGTGCATGGTTGCAGTGTGTCTGGATATGTGCGTATGCGTGCGTGCGTGTGTGTATGTGTGTAGTGCGTGCGCGAGTGCATCGAAATACTCATTCGTCAAACATGGGATAAGAAAGAAAAAAGAAGTTTATTAATATAGATATCACTGTTTTATCTATATACCGGGTGTACTTAAAGTATGTAATAACGTAATCCGGTTTATTATCGCTATCACTTGAATCGAACGAGAAATCGGAGATGCTGTCCTTGCGATATTAGAGGAAGAAAGAAAAAAAATTTTCCACTCTTCGTCATTCTGTCTCTTTTTCTCACTCTTTCTCTCTCTCTTTCTAAGCGCTCACATCAAGTTGTGAATAAACATATCATACTTAATTAATATATTCGACAAAGAGGATATCATCGTTTAATATAATATGAAAATATATACAAATAAATAAATATATATGAGTGTGTATATATATATACACACACACACACATATATATATGGAAGAAATATATATATGTATATTGCAAAGGAACATTTTATTGAAACTATTGTAAAAAAAGAAGTAGCTATTAATTATTGCGTTGTCGAGCGAATCGTAAGGTAAAATATACCAGCGATTAGTACAGCGCAACAATCACGTAGTGTTCTCTCGCTTTTTTATTCTAATCATCATAATCGGCAATGGAAACTCTTTCGCGATCCAGTGTGTAAATCGAACATGCGTAACTTCGCGTTTATTGATCGTTATATATCATTATTTCCGCTTTCTATTGAATTGTCGCGAGGTAAGAAAAAACTGTTGATTAAAATTTCCGGATTTTAGAGATAAAATTTCGAAAAAAATATCACCGGATGGAATCCGGTGGAAAGAATCGACATCGATGTCTCTAATGTATTAAAATTGGAAGGATAGGCTGTAGAAAATAAATCTCCGCAGTAATTTTCCAATATCAAGAATTCCAGTGATAAAAAAATAAAAGAAAGAAAGAATAAATAAGGAAAGAAATAAAAGGAAGAAGAGAACCGAGGGCTCTCTTAAGCATTAGTTTTTTTTTACATCACTGTATCGGCAAATGAGAAACATACATATAATGATGAGAGACATAAAAATATAAAAATAAATGATAGAAAAATAAATACATAAATTAGACATATTGCAATCTTTTCTTCGCAGAATTGATAATTTTTTCTCATTAAAAATGTACGATCATACTCTTTAAAATTTCTAGTCTCACGTAAATTATTCGCCGAGGAGATAACAATCGTGAAAAAATATCGTTCACGCAAGTGTTGCTAAATATATATATACATATATATATATATATATACATATATATATATATACATACATATATATATATATACATATACATATATATATATATATACATACATACATACATATATATATATATATATATATATATATATATATATATTTAGCAACGCTTGCTATATATATATATATATATATATATATATATATATATATATATACATAAAATTAAACGGCCAAACATCATAGTAATAATATTAGTAATATCGTATTATTATGATAAAAAGATAATTCTTTCTATCTATCTATGTCTCTTAGCGACGGCGCCGGTCAATCGTCCTTTGTCATCCTTGAGCAGCGCCAAAAATGTTCCTTTGTGTTCTTGCCGATCGTTTGCGTGCGAATCGATAATACTTTACCTTTGGAAACCTGTCCTGAAAGATCCCTTCATTTTGATTTCGACGATTCTTCGATTTTTCGTAGCGCAAACGCGATAATTGGCCGATACGAAAGATAAAAAAAAAAAACGCACCAACATCTAGCTTTTATAGATCCTTCGTCTGTTGTCGAGATTTTGTGTTGAAGGGTCTTTTCATTTTCTCCATTTCTTTGTTAAACTGATTAAAAGAGATGATCTTGTTCTTTTTTTTTCTTCTCCTTTTCTTCTATCTCCAAATTTGTCTTTTTCTCCTTTCATGTTTTGGGCGAGATACAAGATTCGTCTATTCCTTTAGTACTTTAGTCCTTTCACCCGTCCTTTGACTCACTCGTTCCGCCACTTTCTGATTTTAATTTGAGATCTTTCGCTTCGTCTCCTTTAAGTTTCGAGAAGAGACAAGATTTCGGTCATGGTGCTATATAATATCTGTACATATACTTATAAAAATCGTTGGCATAATCAATATCGTTATCATTAATAATATTATTGCGTTAAAATCTGATTATTATTGCTGCCCTTCCTACCACTATTATCATTATCACCGATATGTTTATTCTTGTTATTATAACCATCATTATTATAACTATTTTATTACGATTATAATAATTATTATTGACATAGATATTATTATTAATATTATTATTATTATTACTATTAGATTGATTGTACTTATTATTACATTGATTATGATTGTACTTATTATTACATTGATTATAATCTATATCAACGTTATCGTCGGAGGTGCTATTTAAGTCGAGCGAATGTAAAAAAAGGCAAACATTAGAAAAGTAAGCTGATCAAGATGGTTTTGGAAATACTTCTATGAATTCCGCCCGTACAGTTGCTAAGGTTACATAATAATTACCCTTCTGTTTGATATCGATTTCCGGCTACATGCGCTGTCGCGCGCACATTATGTATGCCAGTTCTCTTCGATGCGCATTATATATGTATACATACATAACTGTACGAAATGACTTTAAATTTGCGCGATGAAAATCTTTTCTGAACCCATCTAAAATTAATTGAAATTAATGAAAATTCATTAATGTTTATTTTTCATAAAATCTGGCTTGCGAAAAGTATATAATTTTAATTGCTTGTAATTTTAAAAATTATTAATGCTTTGTTATACTTTTGTATCAAGAAAAGATCGACTTTAAGTTGCATTTGCGCAAATTTACGTGCATCGTACATGCATATATCTAAAGACGTATAATGAGGAAAAATGCGAGCGATTGTTCGAAGGTAAAAGCAGCAATACAAATCGTCCAAAGGAATTGTATCTGATATCTGCGTACATAAAGATACATTTACATTCATAATTTCTTTAATTTATATCGTAAAGATAAATTGAAGAAAAAAAAAATGATTCCTCGAATTCTTGACATTTCGTTATTAAACTCTAACTTATAATTTTTTTTATCAAACGCTTGAAATATATGTAAACAGTGGTCAATGTATAAATAGTGAAAAAAACACTATGCTTTCTCTTAAATTAAAAATATTTGAATTTTTGTTCATCAAACATTTTCAAACATCTTAGTTTCTTCAAAATTAATATAAAAAACTTATTTCAATTTATTAAAACGCTCTACAAAAATAAAATATACAAATAAATCTTATTTCTACATAAAGAAAATCGAGAATCTGAACTGTAATAAACACTCATTCCTATTTATATTTGCCACTGTATGTACGTGCGTATACAAAAATCATCGCGTACTTTTTTACGACTTCATTTAACGAAGAAAAAATTGCTGTTTAATTAAGTTTTAAATTAAAATTTTGAAATAGATTCTTCACTTAAAATTATATCAGAAATAAGATATATCATTATTTATTTGCAGATATGAAGATCAATTCGCGAGAAATATTTCAATTTCGCTATAGTTCGCAACTATAGAAAAATTATTTCAATGTGCTGATACCGAAATCTTTAATTTTGACGAAACTTTTTTTCAAAGTTCGACACATTCGTAACGTTGTATACACTATTTATAAAAACCAGGACGAGGGTGACGACAAGGATGACGGTAACGGTGAACGATATCGGCGTGCCAAGGGAGGCGGGAATTATTCTTAAAGAAAAAAAATATATATATTACATATATTATATATGTATAAAATATAATATAAACGAGAAGAGATAACGATATTAAGGGTAAATAACTACGACAAAAAATGACTGCTCTATACTGCTAAAGTACAAATGTTTTCATTTAATTATTTTATAAGACGATATACCGATTCGTTATGATTCGCGTTTGTATCTTGCATTTAGCGCTAAAAACGGTCGTTGCGGGATTCTGGGAGGGGGGGGGGAGGGCTTTTATTTGTCTCATAATGAGAATTGCATATTGTACCTTGTGCGAGATTTGAGACTGTGCATTTAGAAAGCTATATGTGTGAGATACAAATGCGGGTCTAGGTTTATGGCGCGTCGGTTTGGACACACATACACACACAGCCCGACGCGCGTGTATCTATATCTGTATTTATTTGTTAATCTTTAAACGTGGATGTGTGTGTGTGTATGGTACATAAGAGCCATACGTGTGTATTCATACAGGATGTCGCAAAAATCGCTTCCCGCTGACTATAAAATCTATATCTTTATTCAATCTGGTGTCGATTATTTCTTTGTTGAATAAAGATTTAATTTTTGCAACACCATAATTATTTATACATTTTCTATAATATTCAACATTAAAAAATAACTATGTTAATTAATTGTGAATTAAAAAATAATCATACATATCATCAGAGTCTCTATGCGAAATAACATTGAATTAGAATTCGTCTATTTACGATTGCTTGGAGTTTTAAATTCGCATTGGGAATTTTATATTTTAAATTTTTGATTGTGAAATTTATTGATATTTTGGTGCATACGGAGAAAAACTCGACCCCAAATTTAATCGAATCATAGGGGAAGCGAGCAAGCAAGCCCCATAGTTTGGGATACCCTGTATATATAAAGCACGCATATTCATACGCACACAAACACGCATATCACATAACATATTCTTCTATTAGTATATTTGAAGGCATGATATGCATCCTCTCCATTTCGTCCATTTCACGAAAGCATGAGATAATAATGCTCGATTTTCGTCGACAATCATAAATAATCGCGGTGGCGTCACTCCAGCGATATTCCAGCAGAAAGAAAAGAACAGATTTTTATGTTTTAGTTAATATTAGGAGATACAGAGTAATTCAAATCTATGTCGCTCGATTATATGAAACAATTGACCGATTAGTGTTTACAAATACATAATTTACAAAGTGTAATTTATCGAATCAGCCATTCCTTTTTGCAATACACGAGTATATAGTGTACCTGGTTTTTTTTTATATTTTTTTTATCTAGTGATTTAAGATTAGCTTCTTACGATTAGTAGCTTAGACAATCAAAAAACTTGAAATAATAATATTGCCGTTTACAGCGGCGATAAAAGTTTGTTAAAACAATTTTTTACGACGAAAAATAGAAAAACACATAAAAGAAATTTCTCAATTATTATTTCTCGCAGAAGAATATAACAAAGTTCCAAAGTTTGGTGACATATATTTGAATCATCCTGTACAATCGTAAGTCATTACTGACAAAAAAATACAGCATATCATTAGGTTTCTAAATTTCCGTTCTGATTAATATTACATTTATAGCAACATTTTACAGCAATACTGATATACTTGCGGCGTAACTGATTATATAAAATGCGAACTTTTTGTTTCTGTATCAAAAAAATCCTACACACACAGCGAGTGCGATATAAAATTTTCGCTTTAAATTTTTGATTTTATACTATACTTATAAATTAAGTTTTTCTCTCTCTTTCTCCCTCTCGTTATTAGGATTGCTCGCTTATTGATCCTCGTTATAATATACAGCGTTATAATGTAAATATAGTGAAAAAGTAAAATATTCGTCAGTTCTCCAAAGTAGTATTGAATGACTGCAGAATCGCGTTTTTACGTAGGATCCCTTATTCTTATCATCATCTCGCTTTCTTCCCCGTTATCTAAATTATCTACGATTGAAGAAAAAAAAAGTCACGAGGAATTGACTCCTCTTGTTATAAAATCGTTCGATTATTTACAAATACGCGAGTGCCAATTATAAGACTATAATCACTAATGCGTAATAATTCATAGAGAACGAGAGGGAAGCGCGACGACGATCTACGAAAGAAAAAACAAATTGAAGAGCTTACTTATCAAAAACGTCTTAAGCGCACATTTGAAAAAAAAACAGTAGATTATACGCGTATAATTTTTTTTTTAAATATGCGTTTAAGGCAATTTAAAAATAAGCTTTTCGATTGCAGTAAGTTGACGGCGATTATACTTAAGTAATCGCACATATCGAAATGCATATATACCTTTTAAGGCTGTATCGATGTTTGATCATCCATAGGATCCAAGATCCTTATGGAGGTGTATAAATGAATACAAATTTTGCCTCCGAGAGGATAGTGTAATACGGCAATAAAAAAAAGCGATCATATGCCTTCTTAAAGCATATTTCTCTCTTTTCTTTTACCGTTACGTATTTAGAAAATCAACTCTTTCTCTCTCTCTTTTTCGGTTTCTCTCTTTCTTCATTATACAAAAAATAAATTCTGACAACACATTTTTATATGTAATAAAAAAATATGCAGAAAATATTTAAAATGTTATATATATGTGTGAATGACGTCCAACGTAAGATTGTTTAACAGCGTTATTATCGCATCAAACTCTTAGTTCGCGAAAGATTTATTATATATAATGTGTGACTCGAAGAGAGATGTACAAGAAACTAAATTATTTATATCTTATTTATCGATCCTCACACAATATCGACATAAATTAAAGCGTATCTTAAATGCGTTATATCGTTTCGACGTATCGTGACTAAACTGTGATTTACAGAAAATTTCAATATATCGAAAAGAGAAAAAAAAGAGAAAAAATGGAGAGAATGTGTACAAGTACACCAAGACGATTAACGAAGATCCTTGCCGATTATTGTATCAATATGAAAAGATACGGGTCTCTAATATTACCCATTATGATCGTTACGTATGTTGGCGATGAATGTTACGCTGTCTTGCTATTAATACTTATGCATCGAAGCCGTTTAACGATTAGCTGTTAAAAAAATTTACGACTCAAACTCTTTGAAATCAATATTTTGATGTGTCTATGTAAGATATAGGCATGCATCTCTAACTCTCTTCTTCGCAGAAATTAGGAAGAGAATCGGAAGACTCTGATTAAACTTAGAAAGTATAAAATAACATATACAGATACACACACAGATATACATGAAGGTAAAAAGAGAAAAACACAAAAATAAACAAAATGAATACACATACTGCGCTTCTTGTATATCATAATGATATAACGCGTTGAATATATTTCATTGTTATGAGTTTTATAAATCTATAAGAGTAAGGATTATACAAATCTGTATCTCTCTTTCTCTCTTTCGCTATCTATCTATTAAGTTTATCATTATCATACATATATTTGAATAATATATTGTATTATCACAATCTTTTTGCACACATCCTGCCAATTTGCTTTCCCTCCTTTCTTTCTCTCTGCCTCCATCTTTTTAAAGCATTATTCCTTACAGACTCATTCGAATGTATCATTCTTCTCGCGAAAAAAAGGTGTACTTTTTCATATAAAAAAGGCACATTGCCAAAATAAATATGGGGTTGAAAAATTTAAACTGGAAGATTTATTTGTGTTCGTTTCACGCCTCCATTTATATGTTCGAAATATGCAAATACTTTCCCGCTTTCATTTTTAATAATTGCATCTGAATAATTGTTCATTTTCTCAAAATGAAAATGTTTTCGCAAGGAATAAATCGAGAGATAAAGATGGATGTATATATATATATATATATATATATATATATATATATATATATATATATATCTTTAATTTTTATATTAATTTTTTTTACAAAACAGTAAATAACTTAGATACAATTGATAGAAATACTTTGAGAATGTTTTGCCACATTAGTGGATAATTTTGTATACACATACATTTATGTGTACAGTTTGTTGTGTACGTCCAAGCGCACTCTTGCTAAAAAATTATATTATCATTGGATCTTTGATCTATAAATACATTTTGGTGTACATACTTTCTTTTTCTTGTGACTAAATTTCCCAAAATTAAGGTATTTCAGATTCTAATTCTTTTAAGTATGGTAATAAATCGCCGAGCGCATCTATATAATAATTAGGTACAAGATCCCGTTCTTCTTGTTGTTCGGATTGCTTCCATTTTTCAACGTCCGACAAGGCAGTCACTCCTGTCAGAACTAATAGCGTTATAAAACCGCAACGAGTTCCAAAAAGTATATCAGTGTTACAACGATCTCCAATCATCAAAGTGCGCTGGGGATCAATATTAGATCTTTCCATCAACATCGTAGCCATGTAATTGTCCGGTTTGCCCATAATTACCGCTTTTCTCTCTGCGCAGCTTTCTATGCATCTGACTAGACTTCCTGTACCTGCATTAAAAAAATTATAAATGTTCAATGGAAATATATATCATGTATATTATATATATTAATGCAGCTATATATAAAAATATCTCGATACCCACCAGGTATAACAACATCTTTTGAGAAATCTGGAAATCTTTCATCCGTATTAGTGCCAATAAAATGTACATTAGTGTCATTTAAATAGGTGGCTGCTTTTACCATTTTAGGATAACTGAAATGCTCGTCCAAACCAACTATAACCGCAGTTACTTCTGGATCTTTTTCAAAAGTAGAATAAGGGGTATTCGGATTAATTACATCCGGCCCTATTCCAAAAGATGAGATACCGACTTGCTCCAATTCTCTTGCGATTGCTGCATAAAAGTAAATTGAATGGAATATATTTTTACAGCACATGATTCATAAATTATAAAGCTTTACCTTCAGAACCTATAACATAGGTCTTCTTGCAAGATAGGCTTTGAAGATAACAAGCTGACAGATTAGCAGTGCATAAGATATCGTCCTTATTCGCCTGGAATTTCAGAGCCCTGCATTTCTCCACCAGATCGTCACGAGTCTTCGTACTGTTGTTGGTCACGTAAAAGACCTGTTTGCCGAACTTGCGAAACAGATTCATCACATTCGACGAGTTCGGCAGAGGTGTCATGTGTAGCCATAGCACTCCTAAAAATAATTTCTGCAGAACCATTATCATAAAACCACATCCGCGCACGATTTCTACTCACCATCACAATCAGTCAACACGGTGTCGAACGATTTCAAAAATTTCAGGACGTTTTCACGACTAAGCGTTTTTATATTTATCGCAGACATTCTCTATAAAATTAATCATCATTATTATCTATAAAATGATTATTATCGATAAAATTATATTATGAATATTAGAATAAATACATAGATAATGAACATACATGCAAATGTATGTTGTCACAATGAAATTTTTATATATATTAATATATTATATTATATAATATATTATCCGTTATTTACCAATATTTGTTAATTAATTACATAATTTAGTGACGTGACACGAATCAGCTGTGATCAGCTGAGAGGAGTCATTGAGAACCATATGAACTAACCATAGACGTATAAAATATATAGACAGAGCCTACTCTAAGATAAGGGCGCATTCACACTGTGGTAGAAAAGCAGAAGCCAAATAGGGAGTGCCTCGTTTGACTACGTTGCGATTGGCCCCAGCCAATTATACCGACTATGGCCGGTATTCATAGTCCAATCTTATATTTGAGATCGTCTTAAGTTCGAGCTTGAAATGCTACGCAGCTATTTGATTGGTTGAATGAGATCTTAAGTCAACCTCCAAGCAGATTTAAGACGATCTTAAATATAAGATCGGACTATGAATACCGGCCTATGCTTAGAGTAACCAGCAACGATTGACCAATCAGAAAGTTCTATTTTAAATTGGCCAATTGGAGACGTGGTCTATCTGATGTCATCCGTTTATATATGATATTTTTGCTCGAAAATTTCCTCTTGATTCAAGGACAAACGTTATTTCAACGTAGTTTAACAATTATCGATATCACAGATGATTTTATACAAGCAAAATTTGAAGAATCGGGGAGTCTAGTGATATATAGACGTCTCTCAGGTCATGGCCAGCAATCGGGAGGTATGTATACAAATATTGCATATAAACACATTGCATGTATTTACATATATTTTACATATTGCATATAAACACAACAATGTAAAAATACTGAAATATTTGTATTATATTAATGTATCATTGCATCTTAATATGTCATTTTTAATTGTAATTGTACAGAATTAAGCAAGGAGAAATAACATCTTGAACTTTTATCGCAGACTACATTTGAGGAATTTCAAGTAGATGAACGATTTAAGAAATTGAAACGCTCTTTCAAACTGGCTATGTTGAGGAAGACACACAGTGATGATGGAGGGATGTCTGTTGGGATAAATCAGTCTAGTATCTCCAGCATTAACGTAGATAGTTTAGATTCCAATTGCGTGATTCCATCGTTGCAAACTTGTGCGATTAAGAGCGAGATCTTGGCTTCCAGTAATAATCTGAGAAACTTAGTCTTGACAAAGAGGAATTATAAGGCCAACCAAGGAATAATGACTACATCCAGTGTCAAACAGGATGATTATTTGGATGATCGACATATTATGCCACCTCCAAGAAGGAACACAGTTTATCGCACTCCCAAAGAAACACAGAACAAAGTCCCTACATTGTCAAATTATGGATCGGCAGCATCAGATTTGCTTCATAGATCAATTCAGTCTTCTACAGTGAATAATTTATCCTTGGAAAATTCTCCTAGCTGTATATCCCATGCAAGTCCCAGCTTTATATCTAATACAGATACTAACAAAGTATATAGTCATTCTCTTGTTGCACCAATGAAATGTACCAATGATATTCATATAATTGAAAGAATATTTTTAAAGTGGAAAGTTATGCTGAATGACCATTATGAATTAATAATTAAAGGAACATTAGAATGGTAACTACATGATATATATTTTATTAATTTAAATCTTAACATTTTTTTAATTTAACATTTATTTATTTTTTTAAGTGGAAAAGTTGCACGTAGCAAACCAGTCATAAGAAGATACTCTGCAACATGTGTGGAATCTAAATATAAACATATATATAGCCTTAAAGGAAATATTGTTGATGAAAGAAATGGTAATTATGTAAAATTTAATATATATATATATATATATATATATATATATATATATATAATATATAATATATTATATTATAATAATCTATGTTTTTCAAATATAGTATTACCAGATTATATTCGCGGAAAATTTCATAATGGTTTTCCTGACGATTGGGAGAATGTTCATCAAATATGGAGGACATATGTGAGCCAAGGATGTCCAGTGACATTTCGTTGGCCTACTCCTATTACTGATAGCGATGATGATTTAAAAAGTGAATTAACAGAATTAACTTACATACGCACAACAAATAATAAAACTATACCTATGAAAACTTATAATACAATAGAATGTATTAATTCTGAAAATCCAAGTAACACATCTTCAAAGAATGAGGAAAAACGTAACTATAGTCACAGTTTTCAAAGATGCGAGGAAAACACTTTATTTGTAAAACCTCTTGTCTCCAACTCCAAGAAAGATATAACTCCAATTCCACAAACAAGAAACATAGAGTTAGCACATGATGAAGATAAACAAAATATTGATTTGGATGTGAACCCGCTTCTTCCAGAGATCAGTTTCATAGTAATGAATAAATTAAAAGATGTTATCCGTGAAGATAAACTACATATAATTATCAACAATTTGGCGAACAAAAATTGCTCTCCAAAGTATATTGACAAAATTATTGAGTTGTTTAAGTGTTCGGACTACATAGTGTCTTATAGAGCGAAATCGGAATGTAACGGTGACTCGGCGGTTTTCATGAATTGTGGAACGTCGTCCAAATTCGAAACGATTCCGCTGCAATCAAGTCTCTCATGCAATGACAATCCTACAAATATTAATAAACTTGAGAATCATATTAATATTAATAAATTTGAGAATAATATAATGGAGCAATCGAAAAATTATATGCCTTCCACTGATCTGAGATGTGGAAGTATAAGAAATGATTGTAATTCTATTCAATCATCGAACTCAATAAATATTAAGCAGCAGCATGATAATAACAACGACTCGAATGAATCGGAGAGCGAGACTTACGGTGTACCCAAAATATCGGAGATTGGTCGAATTTTACATGCTCAAAAAGCATCCAAAAAAATATACAAGCATAAAGTGAGGAAGAAACCGACAAACTCACAATGCAACGCTAAAGAAATCGAGCACAAGTTTACTCATGCTGCGAATCCTATAACTAACAATAATAAGAGTGTTTCTGACGCATCTGATATTAGTATCACGGAAGATGAAACAGAAGCGAGGAAACGTTATGAAAGAATGAATATTGCCCAAAAATCACGAGAAGATACTTTTTATAGATATTCTGGAATACGGAAGAATAATTTCGATGTACATGGTGCAAACAAACCTGTAATGCAAAATGAACAGTCACTCGATACTTTGGAAGCACAAAGAGTTAATTTTAATGTTTTTGTAAAGGAACAAAAAGCTCCACACAGAGTTCAAGAAAATGCGCATTCACAATTTGTTCCAGATATCGATTACACTATCAATTCTGACATTGATGTAAGCACAAATAAGCAGAAAAAAGACGAAAATATGAGAGGATTGCATTCTAATCTGGATCAAGAAATTGTGATCAATAGCAAAAGTAATAGTAACTTCGAAAATCCTCCCGTTTTGCGAGAATCACGTAGAGAATTTATCGAGCAACCAAAAAGCGAAACTGTGAGAGCCAAACCTAACATAATCAGTTCGATGCCAGTAAATCTGAAGTTAAGGATAAAAAAAATAGATTCCAAGTTAGAACAGTTCAAGCGTGAACAAGCAGAACAAGCTTCAAACGTGATTATTGTAGAGAATGAAGAGCACAAACAATATTCCAATATTCAACCATCGGAAGAAATTCAGAAGAAGAAATCCATATCGAAACCATCAACCCAAACGGTAGCCAATGATAAAATATGTTCGATAACGAATAAGGAAAATGAATCGAATATAAATTCCACTAATTTGAAACCGACGATGATGACGAATCCAACAATTGAACAGTCTAAAAACAATGAGCTTAAAGTTGAAAATAATCGCAAAGTGTTATGTTCGTGGGTACCTAAAGTAATATACTATGCAAAATCGAAATTTGAGTTAGGCTTGATCTTTGAAGGAAAATTGCTCAAGTAAGTACTCTTAAATTTAATTAATGTCGTTAATTATATGATGATATAAAATGGTTTCTTCTGTTTATAGTGAAGCTGGGCATGTTGTACATAGAAAATTTACAACGGATATTATATTGAAACGACTATCGCCTATGCTGATTGAAACAGTGAATCACGAATTCTATGAGCTTTCGGGACACTTAAAGGATAATAAATATGGTAAAGTATCAAAAATTTGGTAACAATGTTCTCACTATTAATATATTTGTCAACTTTAATCATTTTTACTTTGTATTATTTAGTTATTCCGAAGGAACTTGCAAAACAATGTCGTAATGGATGTCCTGCAAATATTGAACAATTTTGTCTGACTTGGAAAAGGTTGCAAAACTGTATGTGACACGATATTTTTGACATCTTTTTCTTATTTTTTATAAATATATGAAAATTACATGTCATTTACGAAAAAATTTTTATTTCTTAGGTAAAATACAAGAAATGAATGAGAAACCTCATAATACATCCATGAATTCGCTGAATACATTTATTAGTTCTAGAGGTCGTAGAATCATACCTTCCTTATCTTATTGGACAGGTAAGAGAGGAAAGGGAGAATAAATTATAAAATGTAAAAATAAAATAGATCGATTTTTTTATCAAATAGAAGATAATTTTCTATTTAAAATTCTTTATGTTATTTTTTCTATGTAGGTGAACGCATAACTTTGAAAGATAACAATCTAGTTTATAATCCGGGCAGTTCACAGGAATCATCATTACAATCGTTAATTGAAACTTCAATAGAAGCATTGGTATATATAAATTAAAATATAATTACAAAAATGTGTTAATGATTTCTTATAGCATTTACAAATGTACATATCTTTTATATCATGTAAAATATATATTTTTTATATTATGTAAAATATAGGGTACAGAAGAAACAAAGAAACAGAAAGTAAATTCCAAGAATACATCAAAGGAGCAAAAACTCTTGCCCAACTCGAATGAGATTCCTAGTACAAATAAAAATCGAGTAAGTTGGTTATATAATACTTCCACTATATAAATTAATGAAAAATATATAATTATTTTCAATTTAGACAATCGTTATTGAAACAATTCAAGCTTCCAACAAGTCACCCAAGACTAAAGCTGCAAATAGTACAAAAAGATCGTACAAATTGAATAAATCTCAGAAACCTCGAATTAAACGACGTATGAAACAAAATTTGATATCATCGACAGATTCTAGCGAAGAAGAACATAAAGTACCTCCGCCAAAGGTAAAAGTTGATTTATAAATAAAAATAGAATTTTCCATTATCTTATATTTTTCCTTTTCACATATTTACGAGGGAGATAATGAATTTTTGTGAATTTCATTTTATGCAGCGTGTGCACACTCAACTAAACACAGAAACGCCGTCGCAATATACGATGACCTTGAGGAAACGGTATGATAGAGGCATCCCCGAATAAAGCCTCACGTAGGAATACATTTATTCAATGCATTTTCATTAAACAAAAAAAATGTGCAATTTAGATAATTATAAAGTATATATATCTATATACGTATGTGTATATAAACATAGACTTTTCTTTTTATATTGCTTTCGTATTTAATATTACCATTTAACAAATGTATACATTGTATATACGAAATATCATCTGTTCTATATAAGCACAAATTTTTATATATATAGAATATATGTGTATATAACAGTATCTATATATACTATATTCTACATATTATATAAAAATCTACGGCTTTAAGAGAGTCTAATATAAGAAATATAATTTATTGGTGGGTATATTCAAATAAAAATTAAAACAGGTAATTTTGATGCAAATACAAAATAGTTTCTATTTTACATAAAGAAATATGTACTCGTAATAATAAGACATTTAATATTAAAAGATTAGCTACTTAACAATGTGAAACATGTGTGATATTTTCTGAAATTATTTTGATGTATATGTATAAAGATTATTTGAATATACATAATGCACTCGTATTCAAGAGATACGATTCGCTGTTGATAAATAACTCGATTCACCTAATTAAATTAGTTTCAATTAGTTTTTCACATATGTGAATTTAAATCAATAAAATGCTCTTTAATATGTTCGATTTTAAGCATTTTCTAATATTTTCAATAATAAATTTTCAATAAAATGCTCTTAAAAAATTATGACATTAATTTATATGCGTAATTTCGTATTTATTCAATATCTGTTTTTATATAATTGAAGAATTTACTATACTTATTATATCTTTATTTATTATAGTTATCATATCATATCAGCAATGATTAAGTTTAACGCGAGCGATCAATGTCCTGTTATCTAACGGATAAAACAGATGCCAAAATCATCTGTGACATACGTTTATCGTTTAATATATGTATATGATATGATGTAACTAATAAATATAATCAACTATATGCACAAAATGATAACGACCCCGTTAGCTTTCATCATACAGAGGAGTACCATCCCCGCTGAGGGACATACTTCGTGGACTAGAATTTGTATGTGGGGTACCTCGTGGTGACTTATACGAAGGAGTCCGCGCAGACGAAGGTCTGCTCCTTCCAGATGGCGTCGTTCTGCCGACAGACTCTTCGTAATTACGCGGGGTTTTTCTAGATTCTTCGTATCTGGGCGTTGATCCACTAAAAGTACATATAATCATTACAATCAATCAACATTAACAATAACTGAACAAGTTAAATTGAATATATAAATAGAGGCACACGTATATATTTATAATATATTTATAAATTTCATTTAATACGCTATACTTTCATTTATCGATGCCGTTACACTATGCGCTAGTTTCTAATATTTCGCCAGATTACAAGAGAAAAAAATAATGTTATATACTCACGAGACTCGGGGATTACTTTTTAGACGTGCCCACGCTTCAGCCGCTTTTTTCCAGTCTGTTGGATCGCCGGAGGGAGTGGATAAGGGTGGCGTAGGTCTATGCGATTGAGCGGATCTGTGATGACCGGGTGTCATCGAGGGTGGCGGCGGATGCACGAAGGGTCCTTGATGATGGCTTGGTGTTTGTTGGCCGTATCTAGGAGTAGGTTGACCATGATGCGGTGTATGATGAGGCGTTTGATATGGAGTCATGAACGGGGTCTGACCAGACGGCGTATATGGTGTGTTCGGATACGTGTGCACTCCGCCGTAACCGGCAGCACCCGCCGTCCCTGGGGTGTGCGGCGGATAGTGATGCGGTGTCTGATTCGCCACTTGTGACAACGAATGCAGCATGTGATGTGGAAGATTCTGTGCGACTCGCTGGATTGCCTCTTGATTCATTCCTGTAAAAATTCGAAATGATGATGGATAGAGCTATTACAATAATCTCAATTATCTTGCCGGATAGAGTTCTTGATAAAACAATTAATAATTCAAAATAAGATGACAAATCTTTTTTTTCATAATATAACATGTATAATTTATTTGTATAATGTTAATACGTTCATTATAATAGAAAGTGATAATTAAACATCTCATTTTGAAAAAAAAAATTATATATATATATATATATATATATATATATATATATATACAGGGTCTACCAAAAGTGTGGAAACCCCTAAATATCTCGGAAAATATACGTTTTACAGAAAAGTGTTTCCAACAAAAGTTGTAGGGTTTAAGAAGATCTATATACTGATTCTATCAGTTTGACCTTGGATGGCGTCGTCAAGGTCAGGTCAAGGTCACATTGACTTTTTTAAATGACACCCCCTACATTTGATTGCATATTCTTATAGCTTAATTCAAGAGCTTTCCAAAACACTATAATAATGTTCATTTTTATTAAGTACTTTGCGAGTTATGAGGGTTGAAATAATTTCTTAATTTTACATAAACCATAAAATATCTAGTAAACCATTCATTTTTCGATTATCTTACCTTCATACTTTTATGTACAAAATAATGAAAGGAATCAATTGGTGTAAAGAAAACATACAGTTGTTTTTAAGAAAAAATATGGAATTGTTAATTGCAAATTACATATTTTTTCTTAGAAACAACTATGTGTTTTCTTTACACCAATTGATTCCTCTCATTAATTTGTACATAAAAGTATGAAGGTAAGATAATCGAAAAATGAATGGTTTACTAGATATTTTATGGTTTATGTAAAATTAAGAAATTATTTCAACCCTCATAACTCGCAAAGTACTTAATAAAAATGAACATTATTATAGTGTTTTGGAAAGCTCTTGAATTAAGCTATAAGAATATGCAATCAAATGTAGGGGGTGTCATTTAAAAAAGTCAATGTGACCTTGACCTGACCTTGACGACGCCATCCAAGGTCAAACTGATAGAATCAGTATATAGATCTTCTTAAACCCTACAACTTTTGTTGGAAACACTTTTCTGTAAAACGTATATTTTCCGAGATATTTAGGGGTTTCCACACTTTTGGTAGACCCTGTATATATATATATCAATTGTTTTTTCTGAGAACTTTAACAATTGATAATTATAATTTATATAATTATTAATAATATAAACTTACCACTGACTGCTCCCGGCGTAGTAGTGTAAGGTGTTCTAGAAGTCATCGCGCCGCGTGGTGTACTGGGTGTGGATTGTCCGGGCACTGGATCTCTGAAATGTTCTTTGAACCAGCGTAACAAGTCGCTCACTCTACCAAACATTTGTCCCCGGAATTTAAAGCCTTCGGACGTCACTGTGACATATTCATGACGGCAACGAGTGCGAGGCAAATACGAGAGAAGGAATTTCCCAGGATAGGTCTGTAAAAAGAGAAGAAAAAAAATCATTTAAATTAGATTTCTTAGAAACGCGCAACGCTAAAAAATTCGTTATATGCTTATTTACCCTAGCTGCCGATATTATATAGGGAATTCCACCAGGGTTCTCCTTCTTCTGTTCCTTTAATATTTCTTCCGCTTTGTCTTTGATTCCCTCCACGGATGGCTTATAATACTTAAAATCTAGTAATTCGGAGGCATAAGCAGCCATGGGATTAACGTGTCGGGCAATTATTTCATCCAGATCCTCGAACTCCTCATTACCTATCCAAAGACTTTGTCCCAACGAGAAGGCATTTTCTTTGCCCTCCTCGCGAACGTCAATGTGTTGGAGAATATCATCGGTGACCTTCCATGTAACTGTTAAATGATCGGCACCTTTGCTGCTCGGTCTGACTATCGCTTCGCCTTGTTTCATTGTCTGCATTAGTTTTACGGTTTCAGCAAAACTAATGTTATGGAAAGACGGATGGACAATTACACGCTTCACATAAATTTGTCGCTGCTTCGCTTTCTTCGCGTCCTCTTCTACTTTCATATCCTTCTGTTCAGTCTCAGTATCGTAAAATGGATCCCGTTGCGGTCTGCAAATTTAATTGCAATTAATATAATTACAATTTATTACAGTGAAAAATCTAAAAGATTATTACGTTATAAAAGTTATGTTAAAAAAATGTTTTAGTAATATTATATTATTTTTGTAAATTTCCTATTTCAATAATTTTAAAGACAATAGAGAGAGATTTATGTAAAAACCATTTGAATATATTTATGTGTATAATGTGCTTACCTCCATTCATGATTTTTGTCAGCTAGATCACTACTCTTGCTAGTGCACTCAACACTGAATCGATCCACTTCGATTTTAATGATACGGCAATGAATGATTTGTCCCATACCGACTCTTTCGCAAGGATTTGCAACGTGTCGATCGGATAAATTTTTGATATGAATATAGCCAGATATACCATTGTCCAGTCGCAATCTTACACCGACGGCCTTGCCTGGACAAGCGCCAGCGTCAAAGTGATTCCACACCTCTGATAATTCGGGAAAATCATTTTTCAGGCAGAACGGACATTGCCACAAGCAGGTCTCTTCATTTCGCACCGGATTTGCCTGATCGAGTTGATCACCCTGCGGTTTCCTGTGACTGATGCCAACCACTGTGGCCAGCACTAGTTTTCCGACATAGAAAGTCTCTGGCGTCTCCTTCGTCAGGACATCAAACAATTTTTCTGCGTTTGGCGATTGATACGGCACACGGAGATCCTTGTAGCGACTATTCAACTCGGCCCTGATGTCGTATAAAGTGACACACTTGTTGCCGAAACCCTGTCGCTCAAGCTCCTCCGCAAAAGCGTCTAGATCTAAGTCCTTCAGACGTTCCGGTGATTCAAGTATCTCCTCAAGAGCACCGGCGGGATTAGCGTCTTCATCATCATATTCTAGTGCGTCAACTGCCATTTTCCTCGCCCATTCGTAAGTTTCGGGATGCACACGTGAGCCATCGAGTACCTCTACATATGCCTCGGTACTGTCGCCCAGACTATTGGTATCGATCTTAATGAAGCCGGCGCAATTGATAAATACTTTCGGTCCCATATGACACGCAGTAACTAACTGCGTCCTGTTCTCCAGCCGCTGATTCGTCTGCTTCAGCATTTTGATTAACGCTTGACCTTTTCGCGGGCCAAGACCGCAAACGAATTGAACAAGGTTGCCGCAGTATGCTTGTTGAACTGCTTTGTTCACATCTACGCCAACCTCGTTCACACGATTGACGAACTCCAAATACAAATTCTCCAATAACTCTTCTTTGGGTAGTTGATCCTGCAGACTGTGATATCTGAGGCAAAGAATTTCCTCGTCCGCAGTGCATAATTGCGAAAATTCTACTAACGGATCCTGCATTCTTCTCGCCAATGAAATGGCCTGACGTAATAGTTCTGGATAATCCCGGAATTCCGAAACACCCTTGTTACTGTTGGAATAGATCTTTGCAAGCTCATTGTCATAGATTTCTACTTGGATAGAAGGAAACTGCTCCTCTCCTGTTAAATTAGTGATGCATTCCCTGATGTCATCAGCAATCATATTCGCCTCTCGGGACTCGCCGGCTATTACTATAACATGCGGCTTCTTCGTGGCTATGAAGTTTTTCAGCGCCAGCAAGTCAGCTTCCTTCATTGCCTTTTCATCCTCGCGATAACTATTTTTGCGTTTCATCAGATGCGCCAGACGCAAATAATCCGTGCATTCGCCATCAGCTGCGACCAGACAGGTAAAGGCTGCCTGAGAATAATCGGGCACATAAGCCAAACCCATGACGCGAAGACCTTTACTGGTGTCCCATTCTTCGTCCTCTTCCTCGGGAAACTCGCAGATGTATGGTGCAACTTTGATCCAATTATACATCTTGCGGCAACATGCGCGCATTACGCATTCCTTTGCTTCAGCAATCAAATTTGTGCGTAACTCTTTCTTCAAATGCGGTATTACCATGCGATTAAGTGCGAGCTCGACGCTACCAACGCGTAATGCATTCCAATCCTGCACGAGTTTGCTGAACTCATCTCGGCAATAGAGTTGTTTCATCTCATCTACGTAATTGCTGCTGGTATTACCTTCGATCGAGTCACTGAGAGTAATCGTGATGAGTTTATCATCTTCGGCAATCACTAAATTCAAAAATTGAACACCCACAAGATCACGTACTGGTTTGTCCTTCAAGTATTTCATAGTGTAAATGGGGTGATTTTCGTCGATCTCCTTGATGCCCTTTTTCGTCGGTTTCACAGAAATCTTGGCGCGTTCCATGTACATCTCGCGTACGCATTTACGCACGAGTGGCTCACGTGCAAGCTGAATCGCTACCATCAACTGAGAGGCTTTCAATATTTCCTCTGCGGTCTTGAATCGTGAACTACAGTATTCGTTTGCGATCGTTGTTGGTTCAGTTGGCTCTTGATCCACCTCGTGACGCTGATAATTGTCGCGTAGATTCTCGGCGTAGTGTTCGGGTGTCAGGCCGAATTTCTTCGCCAGACCATCCAGGCCGGCTTTCCGGCAGATGGAATACGGACCGCTTCTCACCGCTTGCTTCAGTGTGTCATCGGCTTCCTCTTCCTCCTGCGCCTCTTCTTCTTCCGGCGGATCTTCTCCATTTTCTTCCGCTTCGGCAATTTGTTGTTTGCGCCGCTGAATCCTTTCTTCACGCCGTGCCTCTTTCTCCTTCTGTCGCACGGCTTCCTGCATCGCTGAAATCTGGTGAGAATAATACAACATGAAATGATGATAGACATCACTGAGCTCCTCACTTGTCTGCACATTTTTCAGCCGCTCAATGTCATCATCCTTGATCAATCGTATGTTATCCGGCAGCGGCGCATCCGGATTTTTCATAATTTCATCCAGTTGATAGTTGCGCATCTTTTCAAACAGTTTAAGTAAATTTTCCTTCCGTTGGCGTAATTGACACCATTTCGCATCAAACTTGTATACTTTCCACAGATCATTAATATTTAACTCGGGCAACACGTATTCCTTCCTATAAAAAGATATAAAAGGGACCTCAAAGTGTTGATTGCGCATGAAATCTAAGGCTTTCTTGATTTTGCCGATAGTTTGTGGTCCCTTTCGCGCTCGTTCCTTAGCTTCGGCGTTCAAATGAGCATCTTGAATCGAAATTGTAGGCTTGCAAAATGCTTGCTTGTAAATCCATTCCGCCTCGAGATCAAGTTCGTCGGAACCCTCTGGGACTGATGTGACTGGTACAGATCGCAGTTGCATTCTTTCTGGTATATCCGTGTTGCGTACCTGTAAAGTAAAACCAGATCTTATAAATAATGTAATTAAAAATAATGATTGCATCAGTTTTAAAAAAAATTACTCTTAGTAACTTTTAGTAAACTATTAATATATTTTTTATCGAACATTGTATCACTTTATATGCTACATTATTTTATGCTGCATCTAAAAATGTATACATAAAATATGTCTATTGCAATTAAGTTTATTAATTAATTTTTGCATTATCTCTTTTTTCTTTTTTTCTCTTTTCCATATTAATATATATAAAAGTAGATAATTTCTTATATAACTAATAATAATGAATCACTAGAAAATTATAAATGATGAAAAAAAATACATGATAAAATTCAGTATAAAAAATATTGTGAAATTGATCCATTGTTTGTGATAATAACAAAATAATCAAAGAATAATCTTGTCATCAAATATTATTACAATAAATACATCGTACCTCGTTATCCATATCAGTAAAGTGACCACGTTTCAATTCGCTGGGCTCATAAATCTCAAAGATACTCTTTCTCGTCGTCTTTTTCTTCAGCTGCTTTTTAGGTCGTCGCGGCCGTTCGGTGTCGACATCTTCATCTAAGTATTCATCCTCTTCCTCCTCCTCTTCTTCCTCCTCATAATCCTCCTCGCCGTACTTACCAAATTCATCGTAATCGAAATCAACACCGAAAATATCTTGCGCTTCCTGTAACGCTCTAAACAAAAAAATATTCTTTTTTCATTTAGGTCTAGAACACAGATTTTGCATATCAATCAACAGACAATTATATTAATATAAAAAAGAAGTTTAATAACATACGCATCCGAAAATATTGGCTTCTTCTTCTTCCTTTTCTCTGCAATAGGTCTGCCATCGTCGTCAACGATAAAATCATCTGCGTCAGTGTACTCTCCTTCATCACTACCTTCTTCGAAGGTTTCTGCCTCTGGTCTATGACTACGTTCGCTTCGCCTTTCATCCTCCTAAAGATAATAAAAAAAATATTACATCATTACATACATAAATAAATGCAGACATTGTGCAAACATTACATACCGTGATAAGATCCCTTTCCTAACACAAGTATGCATGAGTTTAATAAATGGAAACGTGATATGTAATCATTCATGTGAACACGTGTTTGTAATTATAAATGTATTATGTAAGAATGTATTGTAAAAATTAAATGGTTTAAAATGAAACATAACACTATTTCAAAGGACTGTCAAATCAATATAAGAAAAGCAACAAACAAATGCAGATTACATAATCAAATATTGCAATCAATGTGTTACACAAACTTTTATTTTAAATCTTTGTTTAATTCGACATCATATTTTATTTCAGCCAGTCATATTGAGTTTTATTCAACTTAGAAATTTATGACCATTTACAAACGTTCTCGAAAATATTTCTCATGATATATATTTTTTATAAAGATTCCTTTTTCTCTTTTATGCATATTATGTAATTTGAGATATTATTGAAATATGAAAAAGTATGTAAGCTATACAAGAAAAATAACTGAGACAAACAAGAATTAACAAATGCGTCATCTCAATTTTTTTAAATATATTAGAGTCACTTATGATAATCATGTTGTTAATGTGTTAACATATTGGATTAATCATTAAAGATACATAATTAAGATAAAAACAAAACTTAAGATTCTTAAAAAATGCCAATTGTATGAAATTTTTCCTAAACATTTAAGAAGCATACTTACTGTTTGTGCATTTATTTATTTACAAATAATTTGAAATTTAAAAAGTAATTTTTGAATTATTTAAATAATTTGAATTTTTTTATTATTTTCCATAACATCCTCGTGATTATACTCGCGATTAATCGATCCACTGAAGAAGATCTTGAAGTATGAAATTGAAATGTATGAATATCAATATATATTATTTGTGATATTATAGTGAATATTTATATATGCAATTTAGTTCAGTTTATTAATTTTTTTATAATTCAAGAGAGTGTTTGAAATTGTGCATGGACCTGCTCGAATAAAATGTCAGAAATGGTCTGAACTATAATGGATTAATTATGATAGATATATCTGATGTTATACTTACATCTCCAGAACCTTCAAATAATTCATTGGCAATGGCATCCCTTTCATCATCCATTTCTTTTTCTTGTTCTTCTTCCGATTCTTCATCCTGAATCCTTCGAAGACGTTTAAAACGTTTCTGTAACAAGATATAAGTTTTTCAATACAAATGTTTTTCTCTTTTTTTATCAAAATAATCTAGTTCGTAAGACATACCCTTTCAAGTCTAACACCTAAATTTTCCTCAATCAAATCATAATCTTCATCTTCCAAGCGATCATCAAAATCCTCGTCATCACTTTGTTTACGTTTTTTATGATGATCCGAACCATCACTGTCTTCACCTTCACTTTCCTCTATAGGATTGTCATCTATCAAATCTTTCAATTCTTCACGTAATTGATCTTCATCATCTACAAGATATATTAGATATTAATACTACATATTAATTTAGAACTGTGCATTATAATTTAGAAAATGCATAAATATAAATTTCAATAAATATATAATAGGTTGTAAATTAATAAAATATGTTGTATAATAATAAAATAAATAAATATATGTATATAAACATGTATAAATAAAAAACTAAAATATTTGATACACAAAAATTTGGAAATATAAAAGAAAGAAGAAAAAAATAATTATGAAAAAGATATTGTAATCTTGAGATAAACAGGAAGCTGCAAACATATGGAATAATTACAAACCATCTATCCTTTAATTTTTAAGTCAATCATTTTTAACAGATATATCAATATCTTGAATAAAATATAGTCTATACCAGAAACTAACAAAATAATTTTACAATATGTAAAAAATCATAATAAAATTAAACTGAATTATTTTGTTCATGAGAATGTTTAAGATGCATTCCCTACCTTCCTCCTCTTCGTCGCTTTCCTCCATCGCCTTTAGCTTCTTCAGTTTCTTCTTCTCATTTTGATCCAATTCCTCCTCTCCCTGTTAACACATTTAACACTTTATAGTTGCTAGTTATTCGTATACCTCGTCATTTACATTATACAAATTTTGATACGATAAAACCGAACGATATAAAAAGTTTACTAATACTCACCTCGCTCACGTCCGCCTCAGAGTCCAGGTACTGTGCCATGTCAGCGTAGAGATACAACAAGTGTACGGACACTCGCTGCTGATACTTTTGATCTTTGGCAACAAAATTGAACGGCGGTCAGTAAAAATCGAACAAAACTCGGTCTATTCCGAGTATATTTTAAATACATACCAGCTTCTTTCTGGAAAGAGCGTGGAAAAACCAGAAGAGCTAAAAGTCCTGAAAGTAAAAGAATATAGATAGGGATCGATTTTCTTTTTATTTAAACCATAGACATATAAATACATAGATGGAGCCATTGAATTCTATAAAGGCCACGAACAAGTTTTAACGGGAATGTTCCGTTTGACCACGGCTACGTTCCAAAATTTATTGCCAGTACTGAAAATCTATAGTTTACGTCACGTAAACTATAGATTTTCAGTACTGGCAGTGAATTTTGAAACACAGCCCATGTTGCGATTGACGACAACCAATCATATCGACCTGTGCCTAGGGTAACCAGCAACGATTGACCAATCAGAGAGTCCTATTTTGAATCAGCGACGTGGTCAATCGAGTACCATCCGCTGATAAAAGATGAACGCACTGCACAGTTCAGTATCATCAGTATCATCAGTTACAATTTTCGGATGTTTTAATACTTGTCGATTTTAACTACGATTTGTTTTTGTCGCTCCTTTTTCAATTTCTAAAGTGTAATAATATATTAGTTTGTAAATGAACAAATTCTAAAAATAAATGTAAGAATTCTATTTAAATCTAAATCCAAGGAGCAAAATATTAGCAATATGTTATTACTTTGTTTTATACATGTGTGTAATCAATTACGGACATCAAGTGAAGATTTATTTCTAAAAATCTCATTTTTTTGGAAGATTCGAAATGAGAGTGATATGATGAATAAAAAGGAATCATTTTCCAAAGTGAATAATTTTTGGCATCGAAATTTGAGTATCGGATAATGATCAGGTAAAGCTCGTTCATTCATTTAGATTTAAGTTCAAAATATGGAGGCTCATTTATTCAAGGAATAGGGATGGCGCGAAATATAAAATGAAAAAAGAGATTCTAGTTGATAGAATAAAGTCTATTAAAATATTATTATTTTTGCTATTTTGTTATTTATTAAATTTTTGCTGAAATCTTCGAAAAAATTTTCGTAGTAGGCAAAATTTATGCAAAATTTGGCTATTTGGAAGAGACTTTCGAAATTTGATTAATTTTTTAAAGTTGATAAAAAACGAGAAATGTATAAAAGAAAATTTAAAAAAATCGAATTTATTTTCTAAATTGAATTAAAATTTTTCTATTATAAAAAAATATATAATTATAATTAAATATATAATTAAATATATAATTATAATAATTAAATATATAATTATATATAATATTAGAGGGAGATTGTGAAAGATACAATTATCTTCAGGATAAAATCGATATTTTCTTCGTTTCTTCCTTTCTCTCACTTTACTTTGTTTTATACCTTAATTCATATATCTTAATTATTTTTAATTCTTAGAACTTTGAGAATTTCTTTTCGATACACGAGCATACAATATATATGTATAATATATTATTTTGAGTGCAAAGAATATATTAACATTTATAAATATATATTATAATAATGTATATAAAATGTATTAACAATATATATATATATATATATATATATATATATATATATATATAAAATCATTAACACATACAAACACATGTAATAATATATTACATATATCGAGTAATAATTAAGAGGAACAAGTCTCTCTAAGGAAAACCTTCCGTAAGGTATAAAATGGCGAAACGCGACAGGTCCTCCATACAACTATCATATATATATATATATATATATATATATATATATATATATATGTATATACACATAATATATACACGCCATCGCGGCTGTAAAAGGGCCCGCTAAAAGCTGCACATATGCGTGACGTGCGTTGCGACGTGTACATGTGCATATATGTATACATGTACGTCTAACTGTGCGCGTGTGTGTGTGTACATTCTCATGAATCACCTCGGGATCCACGGTCGCCTCTCCCCTGTCGTTCCGTTAATTGAAAAATCTCTCTCGCGCCGACTAGTACGATATAGCGAATGAAATGCGAGACGTAGCCCCGGGAACACGCTTCAGGGACGCTCGCTTTCGAATTTTGGGAGAGCTCTGACAATGAGAATCGCTGCTAGAAAAGATGGCTCTGGCGGCCGGTAATCGCGTCCCTTCGATCGTCGTCACCTAGTGCGTGCCTCCTCGTATCCTCGTTGCCTCCTCTCCTTGGAGAATCCTCCTTTATCCGTCATCTCGTTACCTCGACGAGCGTTCGCTCGTCCCAAGATTCATCCTCGCTTATTCTCTTCGTGACCGTCCCATCTAACGATGCGTCTTCGTGTGACATTCTTGGAGAATGTCAACTCTGAATTGCTATTTGTCGGTAGCGACTGTCGTCCGGAGGGTCTCTCGAGGGTGTTGAAGGTGTAAGATAGAGAAGAAGAGAGGATTCCGGTGTTTCGTATTCGTTTGTCGTTGTCTTCTTCCTTTCACCAAGCATCCCGAAAGGTGTGTTGTCGCGAATACAATTGTGTATTCAGTTGTCTAGTTCTGTAAATTTCAAAGTTTTTTTTGTGATTATCGTCGAGGAATTGTTGCGAATTACATAGATCTCTTTATGTCTTTCAACTGTGTTTTTGCATTTTGAAACAAAATAATTATATGTGCAATTTTAGAAAGAGAAATGAACTGTGGAAAGTATAATTGAAAAAAGAAATAGATTTATTTATTTTGACAAATAGATTTACCTGATTATTACGTGAATATTTTAAATTATTGTGACTATTGTAATTCTTGTCATCAATGTTTATTGATTTCTGCTTTACTCATGCAAGTATATTTTGCTTACCGAATAGAAACACAGTGAATTAAATCATGGATCAGACAAAAAATAGACCAAGTAGACCACGATTGCGATCACACGGCAACTCTGCTAGAGTGCTTGTGTTTGATCAACATGAAACGGAGGAAACTGCCAGTAATATAGAAACAGAAGTGCATAAACGTCCAATCCCATCAAAGGTAGAAAGCAAGGAAGCTCCAGTTCGGCCTGGTAAATAGAAAAAAAGATTCCAGATTTTATATTAATTCTTAACTATAAACTTTGCTTAGTGTGTCTACAAAATAATTTATTTTATTATATATATACATTAAAATTGTATTATTTTAGTTAGCGGAGAGTTGTCAAATCTTGTTCGCATGAGAAATTCTGCAATTGGGAAGTCAGCACCTTCTCTTTCAGTTCATGTGGTTAGTATATATTGAATAGACAAGAAGATTTATTTATATACTTGGTGATAATATTTTTCCAGCGTGACTTCAACATTCCTCGTCGTGCTGCTAAAGCTGCTCATCGCAAATCTTTAATTTCAACCACATCACCTACTTTACCACGTTGCCATTCACCTTTATCAGGTATATAATTTCTATTAATGATTATTTCTATTTTTTTTTTCAAATTATACCTTTTTGATCAAATTTAAAAGATTAGCAATATTTTAAATACATGTACACAATACATTTGATTTTGTTAGTTTTAGAATACATAAAGAAAACTTTTTTATCCTTACATATATAGTATCCTTAACATAAATTAGAATTTCAAGAAATTCTGTATATCCTGGCATATAAATTATAAATGTTGCTTATACTTATATTAGTGGAAACATTATCTTCTTATATTTTTACTTGATTATTTACTGACAATAGCAAGTTAATTTTTTCTACTGCTTATTTCCCGATATAGCATTCGTCCCGATTGTAGGCAGTCCCCTAGAGAGTCCTAGGATGTCATCCAGTCCACACTTTGCTTTTGCTCCAATTAAAAGGTACTTATTTCACACTTTACTGTTTGTCTCAGGACATTTAAATTAGTTTGATCTGATTGCTCAAGGTAAGGTGTCATCACTGTAAATGATATAGCTTTTGCATGTTATAAATAGAAAAGAAAAATGGTGATACAAAAACTTTACTATGCAAAGTCCATGAAGAAAAATAAGAGTTTAATAAAGAAATGCTTGTAAGTTTTTTTATTTAACACAAGTATCAAGGTTTTATGGGTTTTATAATTTTATATTGAGTTTTTTTAATTCTTTAATTTGTACAAGTTTTGTAAAAAGTTATTATTAAATAAATATTATGACATATTTAAGAATTGGCGGAGGTGCTACAGGAACTGGCGATGGTAGAAGATGGTCAGTTGCTAGTTTGCCATCCAGTGGCTATGGAACAACACCTGGTTCCAGTAATGTTTCGGTATGATTGATTGGTATGCATTGGGCATGCTGTTCGTGCTAATCGCTAATCATAATACGTCATTTGTATTCCATCAGTCACAATATTCGAGCCAAGAACGTTTGCATCAACTGCCAAATGTTCCAACTAAGGACGAATTGCGTATGTTGTCTTGCCATTTTTCCAAGCCTGGGACACCATGCTCTTCACATCCGGGATTCCCTGGTTCTAGCATATCTAGTATTCCAGGCAGCGCGTCTCTTAGCCTTGAAGAAGAGGGCTGTCGATCGCCTTTACATCGTCCACGTTCTCGAAGTTTGAGGTATATCACTTGGAAAATTTTTCTTATGCATTATATTTATAATAGTTATTCGATAATTCTTGATTGACTAAAAGTAAATTGGATACAAATGTATTAATTGTTCATAATTTTTGTACAATTGCAGTAGTCCAAGTCGATCACCTGTTCTTGATAGTGAAATTGTTATGATGAATACTTTATATAAAGAAAGATTTCCAAAGGTACTATTAATCATTGACTAAAAGTTTTTGTTATATAGTATTATATCAATCGCAATAATTACATTTTTAGGCAACACAACAAATGGAAGAACGACTGACTAATTTTATTAATGAGAATAAAGAGATAGATGAATATGAAGTAGTGGCTAATATGACGCAAGATTCATTACCAATTTTACGTTTTGTACATCACCAAGTAATCGAAATGGCCAGAGACTGCTTACAAAAATCTCAGGAAAAATTGATCACAACGAGATACTTTTACGAGATGAGCGAAAATCTGGAACATCTTTTAATGGAAGTATGTGTATAAAATATAGATTGGGTGATTTTATCAAGACATATTTATAACTACTTCGTTTCTTTCTTTCTTGCAGACAAAGGATAAATCTTTGGAGGCTGCAACGAGATTAAC